AGTGTGCTGTGGACAGGGTTGGGGCGGGAAGCTGGGGTGCCCGGGAGGGAGAGTGGGTCCCAGTGAGGGACTGCCCAGACACAGACACGGCGGGGCCGGGACACTGAGGCAAGTGGCCAGACCCAGGTCGAGGCGGTCAGCAGCCTGCGCGGGGGACCTGGGATCCCTCCTGTGATCCTGCTGTGCCCCTCGAATCGGCCCCTCCGGCCCAAGTTAGACCCCTTGGCTTCACTGTGCCTCCGGGAACCCCCTTTATGGGGAGCTTGTTGACAAGCGGCAGCCACATATTCTGGGGAGGGGCCCATGGGGGGGAGGGCCGAAGCATGGACAGACCACCACATATTAAAGAAATGAAATACTCAAAAGCCCACCCAAGGGAGCCTGGCTGAGCAAGGAAACCTTGTCCCCAGAAGAGGACAGTTAGGAGTGGGGTCAGCCCGGCACCCCAGGAAGCCGCACGGGAGCAGGAATGACTGTGAACCCCAGAAGGAGTGTGCTTTGCCCTTCATGGTTTAAAAGTTTGCCCTCCTGCCCGCTAAGGCAGGGGTGTGTGGCTTGGGGGGCCGGGGGTGTGGTTTGTCCAGTCTCTGCTAAGGTGCGATATCCCTGCTAGAACACTGACCAGCCCAGCTGCCCTCCCAGCCATTCTGGGGTCACATGCTGGGACTTCACCCTGCCTGGCCCTGGCCTAGGGACTGATGAGTCAACACCAGGCCCCCCTCTTCTCTCAGTTTGGGGTCCCTGCCCCTGCTGGCATGGGGCGGCTCAGGGCAGCCCGGCCAGTGAACCTGCCTCCCAGGAGGGGGCTATCCCATGCCCACGGCGCCTGAGCCAGGGGACAGAGCGCCGGAGCAGGGGACGCTGCAAGCCCTGTTATTATCACTGTACGAGTTGCTAACAAATCCTCAGTTAATTTAGATTCAAGTAGTCGCGCCTGGCTGGTGCCATGTTGTCGGGCTCCAGCGGTTTGGCCCCCCAGGACCCTGGCCTCTTCCCAGGCAGCAGTGGCTTGGGGGTGCTGGTGGCCAGCTGGGGCTGAGGGCCTGAGCTGGGAGCCCCTTGGGGTCTGCGCTGCTGAGTTCGGGCGTCCTGTCCCACCCGCTCCCGCCCAGCCCCTTGGTCTGAGGTCAGCCTGGTGTTTCGTGACCTCCGGGTGTTGGGGTGTGCAGGGCCCAGCCTCCATGTCCCCCCGATCTGAAGCCCTGACACCAGGGACAACAGGCACAAGTCCAGAAAACGTGCCACTTGGGGAAAGAACCAGACCCTAAAGGCCACGTGGTGTGACTCCCTCATCAGAAACCTCCAGAATGGGCGAGTCCATGGAAACAGGATGTTGGTGGAGGGGGCCAGGGAGGGGCAGGGACAGTGCGGAGTGACCGCTTGTGGGCGCAGGGGAGTTTGGGGGTGATGGACACGTTCTGAGGCTGCCAGTGGGGGGCGCGCGCAGAGCTAGAACTGCCTGGGACCCCGCCCAGCCGGGCCAGCAGGGCTATGTGGGGTGGGTGGGCGCACCCGCCCTCCGAGGGGCTCTATTACCCCAATTTTTTCAACTTCTCCAATGTGATGTCTTACTATGGTAAAATACACATAACACAAAAGCTATCATTTTAACCATTTTTTCTTGCCTCCCCACCCCAGTTGAACCTTTTTTCCTACCCCACCCACTTTAATCATTTTTAAATGGACATTTCAGGGGCACCAGTCCACTCACGCACGTTGCTGGGCAGCCACCACCTCCCTCTCCAGAACCTTCTCAGGGGGCGAAGCTGCCTCTCCACACCATTAAACATGAAGCCTCCGCTCAGCGCTCCCCAAAACCCCCTTCCTGCTTGAGTCTCTGACCTTGACTCTCGGGGCTCACAGCAGCCGAGGGAGGGGCGGGCTGGCTGCTCTCCCCAGCAGAAGGGACTCAGGCTCGGCCACCCCAGCTCGGGATGTCAAGCTGGACACGTCCCACCACCATCTTAAGGAAGGAGACGCTGTGGCCACGTGCACAGGGACACCGGGAGGTGGGCGCACCCACTCCCTCTCCGGCACCACGCGCCCCACTCTGCCGCCAGCTCCCCCAGGCTCCTGTTGGCTCCCTGTAGGGAGTGACCAAGTGCGGAGATTTACTGAGGGACTGGACAAGGGCAGTAATAAACTGGGCCTTGCATCCAATTAACGGGGCCTTGCATCCTGGATGGGACTGGGCCTCACATCAAGGACACAGTGATGAGTCGCCCCTTTGGAATCTGAGCTTAGAATCTATATGAGACACCCCCCCCCATAGGGCTGGCAGTAGCTGCGGACCCGCCCGAGGGCTCCATCTCAGCTGCTGTCCTGGAGCAATAAACTCTGCTTGCTCAGCCTTCCTGCCTCCCGCCTTCCTTTCTTGCTGCCGGTCACAGAAGTTGGGACCAAACACTCCCCACCCCGGCCGCCCCTTCTGCCCAGCTGTGCCAGGCCACTCGCCTTCTGCTCGCCTTCGAACCTGGCGAGTCCCTGCTACAGCCACATGGTGTGAAGGTCCAGAGCTGGGCGGGCTGGGGTCCAGGTGGCTGGGCTGAGGCCACGCAGCCCCTTGGGTCGGCACCCCGACGTCCCACCTCCTGCTTGGCCAAGCTGCGCAGATGGGTCTCCAGGGAGAGGACCCACCCACCTCTTCTACCTCCCTGCATTTCCGTTGGCAGCCCTGGGGGGAAGGGGGGTCCCAGGGAAGGCACCTGGGTCTCCAGGGAGAGGACCCACCCACCTCTTCTACCTCCCTGCATTTCCGTTGGCAGCCCTGGGGGGAAGGGGGGTCCCAGGGAAGGCACCGGGGGCCCAGGCCAGGGTTTGAGTTTGTTACTAGCGCTGTGACCTTGACAAAGTTTCTCAGCCTCTCTGTGCCTTTGTGCATTTGCGTTTAAGGTGAGGATTAAGATGGTTCCTTAGAGGCTGGTTCCTTTTTCCACTAAGTGACAGTCATAGCACATAAAAGCAACCATTTCAGTGTGGGCAATTCAGCTTTGCATTGTGCAGCCATCACTGCTGCGGGGTTCCAAGATGTTTCTTCACTAGAGGGGCTGTTTTGGGGGAGTCGCTGCTGTTCCCGTGTTTGTAAAGACTTAGGAGGGCGCCTGGAACAGCGAGAACAGCAGGCTGGGGAAGTGGCAGGATAATGAGTGGGCAGAGCTCATCATAGGTGGCTCGTGGTGGGCGGTGTTATTATTAATTCACTTCCCTCGTCTGTAGGAGGAGGGAGCCGGGAGTGAGAACTCCCCGCTGGGCCCCACTTTCCACTTTGGGCTCCCAGAGCCCACCCAGCTTTTGTCCTCCTCTCCCCCCGAGCTGGGCAGCCTGGAAGCCTGGAACCTCCCCCAGGCAGGCTCAGGGCCTCTCCTCTGCTCCCTTTGGTTCTTCGTAGGCTCTTGCCTCGCCCACACGGGCTCCTGCTCCCCCAAGCTGTCACCTTCTGCGGCAAAGGAGACGCATGTGGGGCTGGGGTGCCTGGTGGAGGAGAGAGGATGGTTCCAGGGGAGGGGAACCACTGTCACCTCCTGCGGGGTGCCCCAGGATCCTGAAAGCCTGGGACATACCTCTCCGCGCCCCCCCCCCACCGGTCACTTGTGCCTTTCCTGCTTAACGACAGCTACCTGTGCTAACGTGCTCTGTACTGTGTTCACCCTGCCTCTGGGCGCCCAGGAGGAGCACCGAGCCTCTGCCATGATGGGCACAGAGGTCTCTGGATCCCACCCACCTCCCACCGCAACCCCCCAGCCTGGTGGACCGGGAGCCAAGGGCTGTCATTTGCTGCCACCTGGTGGCCGGGACGGGCACTGTGTGCCCACTTCCCTCCTGGCAGGTCTCACCCGGCACCTACTGCTCGCCAGTCCAAGTCCACAGAAGTCTTGTCGCATGGGGCAGCTGAGTAACACAGCCAGGCTCCCCTCTCCAAGCTCACAGTCTCCCAGAGAGACAGTCGTCGCACCGCCAGGAAGGAACAGGCCGGGATGAAGATGGCTCCACTGTGCTGGAAGGGAAGGCCGAGCACAGGTGGGATGAACGAGCGGCGGGTGTGCCCTGCTCCTCTCTGCCCAGGACCGGGCCGCTCCAGGCGGCTGCGTCGGCCTGATTCCCTCTCGGGAGCGGGTCGAGCACCCGGTGGCGCGTGCGGGTGCTGGCGCCCAGTGGAGAGCGCCAAACGCAGGCCCGCAAAGCCAGCTCCCCGCCTCCCGTGGGGCAGGCGCGCAGCTGGGCAGGGGAGCGGCGGTCCCGGCGCTGGGCACTGGAAGGGCTTGCGAGCCAGCCCGAGTGGGGCTGCGGGCAAGAGCCCCCGTCCCGGGGCCGGGACCCCGTTTTCCCCGGTAGGCTCCTCCTGCCTTGTCCTTGAACCCTCCCTCCTCATGTCTTCCCCTTGGCGGCGTTTGCCCTCGCACGCGCGGGCTTTTGCCCTGTTGCATGCCCCTTCTCACGAGAACGCAGTCACGGGCTCAAGGGCTGTGTCGCCCTCGCCGACGACTCCACCGCCCCACTGGGGAGCCCTGGCGCCCCGCGCTCCGGGAGAGGAGCCGCCGCGGAGCGG